GCATTCAAATTTTTATATCCTTTTGATTTTTTTTTTTGAGAAAAACATCTTTTGATGTGGAGATCCTAAACTGGTTTATTGGCTTGCAGCTAGAGAAACTGTGTTTATATTTCCTTTATAGAGTCAGAGAATGTTGGTTCTTCAGAACACTCCTTACACTCCTGTACCTGCTTTCTGTGGCTTTAATCATTAAAGCAGTGTAGAGTATGGGTCCCAGGGTCCTCATTATGTTCTGAATCCTGGCAGCAGAACAGATTTTTCTATATCCCTCTGCTTTGGTTTCTCTGTCTGTGGCATGGCAGTGATGCTAACTTCTTTGACAAATACTGAGCTGTCTGCAACTCCTGAGCGGATAAACCATGAATTAGTTCTCAGGGACAGGGCAGAAAAGATGCCATGGTGAATTCTGACTAGTTAGGATATACAGTTATTCAGAGTTGCATAAGCTGAAATTGTTGGGAAAAGTACTTCAGGTTCTAATAAGTCTTCAGATCATCCTTTTTGGGCTGAGAGATGGATTCTTCTAAGAGCAATTCCCACAAATCTAAAACAAAGCTATACCAGAATTCCTGCAATATGTTGACACCTGGGAGGATGTGGATAAGCAAAAGAGTGTAAATTAATATAAATCTTTCAGTAGAGTTTGCAGTTGGCTTTGGGCTTGTTTATATGTACCTGGTATTCTCACAGCTATAGAAAATTGATAACTGCAATTCACAGAAACAATAACTTCTTGTCCCCTCCTTTTTGGAAGAATCCAGGTTAATACATGACTCTCTCTAGTGGAGTTTTCCCAGCCATCTATCTGCAGATGAGGATATATATTGTAGTCTCTGGCTGAAAGGCAGTTTGATAAAATTAGAAAATTTTTTCTAATGGTTTAGGCATGTGCTGAGAACACAGATCTGCACTTTCAGTCTCTTTTAGCATGAGTTAGTCGTGACATCAGTGACTAACATCAGTTAACATCAGTTAGTTTGATCCCTAGCTTAGTCTCTGTATAATGTGCTGTATTATTTACCTACTGCAGAGTGAGGGAAGGGACAAGAACTGTTTTTTCATGATACTAAAGGGGTATTGCATGACACAGACTATAGCAGTTCATAACACATCACCTAATTGTCTAAATATTCTGTGGGTTTCTGAAACTCTAGTGGTTTTTTTGGGACAGTTGTTCTTTCATGAACTGCTGAACTCTATAATTTGCTTACACCCTTTTCTTATAGGGCTGCTTTTGGTGATGTGGACCTGCTAGTTTAGAGCCAGCAGTATTTGGAAAGGATGGGATCGTTGGCTAGTCCCACCTTTCTTCTGCTGGCTCTGGAAATTAGTATTATCTAATTATGTACATCTTAGACTTTTTGGATGGTGATGAAAGGTGTTTTTGGTTAGCTGTAGTTGTTACAGTTGGCATCTAGACAGCTCATGCTTTTGAACAGTGGCTTAATTTTGTTTTAATGAATATTAGAATTGGTATTTTAGAGTAACCACTTCCTTTTATCACTGTCACCTTGCTGTGGCCCTGCAGCAAATTATTGCTAATCTTTACTTCTAGCAGAATCTAGCAAGCACCGTTTGATCCCTTTATCCAGGAGAAAAGGGTAAAGAAGACTCAAAACTGCATTTGGTCTTGCATTTTTGTCAAACAAGTTATTCTGTATTTCTATTGGAGAGATCATTTCTCCAACATGGCATAATCTCCTTCCTTCTAATCAATAAAGTTAAAGGAGCTGACTCCATTAAAAGTTTGATTTCATATCCTGTGTTGTGCAATTCTTTACCTTTTAATTATAGAATGTTAATGAATATGTTTCTCTTCAGAGTGTGTTGTTTGTAGTGTTAGGAAAGAAAAGTTTAAGCTGAGAAGAGGTCAGTATTTTCATAAATCCAGGTAACTTTGTTTTACTAAACTTCATACCATTATGTGGGATTTTAAGAAGTAAACTGCAATTATGATTCAACAAGGAAAGGAATACCCGTGATAATTTTTGGCAACACAGCAGAGCCCTGGTTTTAATCTATTTTTGACCTTCTAGTTTAAATCGGGAGGATTTCTTTGAAATGAGTCTGCGTTGCATAGCAGATTTCACCATTCAAAACTGAAGCCTTTTCTGTAGAGTGCGTCTGTTCCCCCTAATCCAGAACTAATCAAAACACCTCAATACGAAGTTTATTTATTGACGTCTGAGAGAACTAAGTCTGGAAGTGAACTATCTTTCTCAGGGTGAAATATGTTCCTTTAAGCATTTTTCCTCTAAGAGATTGATAAACGTTTATTAGCTACAAAAAGTAAGTAAAAAATATTTTTGATTGATATAGCTATCATATTGAAAACTGTATAAGACAGTAGTCTGGATAAAAAGTAGTGTCATTTTAAAAATCACACAATTCAGAAAACCAGAATTTTTCTGCTCATGATTTGAAATCACTACTTACTTTTAAAAACACGATTCTGCTGTGCTGTGCAAAGTCGAGATATGGTTATAGGCAACATAGCTTTAAGCAAAATTGGCCAGAAAGACACTGATGGTGGCTAAAGAAGGATTTTGTTCAAGAGATACACAAAATTTTAGGCATGTGGTTATTTTTTCTAATTTCAGATGAGAGAGAGTGACACAGATATTTTCTTGTTTATAGCTTGTAAACTATGCAATTATTATACCTTTCAAAGGTATTCTCACTGAGTATAGCTTCTTGAGAGAATTGCTAAGAGCAAGAGTGAGTTATCCCTGAAAATCTCTTGATTTATTTGGCACAAAATAAAACCACCAAATAATACGAGCTGTACATACCTTATTATGGCAAATCTCCACCTTCTTCTATCCCGTTATTTGTTTACGGTGGTAACTTATGTTTTTAATATTCTATACACACTTTACTTTTTGCTATTCTGTACTCTCTTTCTTTCTTTATCCAGTTAGTGTTAGCTGGGAAAATTTCTGACTCTATTTTCCAGATCCAGTTGATTTGAAATGGTACAAACTTGGAAGAGACTTCTGCTTTTGGAAGTTGGGTTTCCTTGAAGGCAAAAGTACGTCATAGATCTTCATGATCTGATTTTTGATGAAATACTCTTCTGTATAGATTGTGCCAGCAGTATTTTTCTTTTCTTCTTTCATTTTTTCACTACTGTTTTGGTAGCAAAAGAGTGTGTGTAGTTTCATGAAACTGTTTAATCTAGACTCTACTTTGGTAAAAGTATATCCATCTGTAATATTTGTAGTAAATTACAATTTACTGTGAATGCTTTTTGTTTTGGAGTTTCTGTGTTGGGATGCTTTCAAATAAGTTTTCTGAGGTGAAATTGCTGTTCTTTGGAGAGTAGGCATGGTGCAAAGGAAATAGAAATGGGAATTGATTACTTTTTAAACTTTTTTATGAACTTGACATGTTCAAACCTTTTCTTCCCCCTCTGTGCTTTTCTTTTTATTTCATATGTGCACATACAATTCTTAGGCTACAGTTAGTAAATTCCTGTCACATTAATTTTAATTTAGCATTTTGGTTTGTTGGCCAAAACTCGTGCTGACAGCGTAAAAAAACCAGAAAGATCCCCAGGCTTAAGATATTACAAGGTTTTTAAACATTTACTTGGATGTTTTCAAAATGGGCCATAGTGCTTTGACCATGCTCCATTTGTTCAAGTGTAAAGGCCAAAGGTCCATGAGTGTATTTTATATTAAAAGATGCTTTCTAATCACAAAGCTTAACAGTAGCTGCTTCATAGCAAGCAGCTATGGTTAGTTCTGTTGTAGTGTGCAGGAAGGGGTATGCTGTAGTTGTTCAAGTGACAGAGGTTTAACAGTATTGGAAGAGGTAGAGTTTTAGAACTTTCCATTGCTGAAGTGTCTGTGTTGATGTATAGTATATAAGCCAAGGGCACTTTTTATCAGATGCAGAAAGAAAACCTTATGCAGAGATTGGTATGTATTTCTAGTTATTTTAATCACACCCCATGTGGAGCTCAGAAGAAAGGCCAAGCTAAGTATGGTGGACTTACTCAATATTTTACCAAAGTCCTGATACCTTAAGTACCTCTTTATGGGTAAAATCTGTAGCAGCACCACAGATGCGAGTCTGGCAACAGTCTGCATGCAGCTGTTGGGACAGGCAGACAGTGTACCCTAAGCCTAGACTTTTCAGTGCCTCTTCTGCCAAATGAAAAGTGCATGGGCAGAAGGTGCTTCTGGCACTTAGGGGTTTTTTTTGTTTATTTATGAAGACACCTGAAAATAACATTGGTGTTCTCTTGCTCAGTTTAAGGTTTCATTTAAAAGGCAAACCTATCCTACATGTACATAGGGTAGTCTGAAAGTTCTTCTCTGCAGTAATGACATCCCTTCTCAGAGCTCCTGTATTGTGGATGTGTTCCTTCCAAATGGATTCCACAGCTGCAGTTCTTTGTGCCTAAACTTGAAAATTGAATGGTTTTGTTAACAAGAGAGTGTTCTCTAAGTGTTTCTGAGGCCTCCTTACTTGTTAGCCCTTACATAATATAACATTAATATTTTTGCTGCACTTTAAAAATATTTAATTTTTCAATTAAAAAAAAAAGACACAGTCCAGAAAATAAAGGGATGTTTATTCTTCCTTCAGAAATAGAAGTAGATAGTAATGCCTACAATGTAAAGGGCATACTTTTATTCAAATAAGATGAGTGACTGTGGTGATTGCCATTTAATAAAAAAAAAAAAAAAAAGGGAAGCAAATATTGTGTTCTCTTGTTGGCTGATGTAATGATGGTGAAACTAGGTTTGTGCCCAATTTTGGAATGTTCTTTCCCTATCTTTTTTTTTAATATGCTAGAATTTTTTCTGCATGGCCAGAGAGTTACATAGTTCTATGTTTAGACTGATGTTTGGTGATAGAGGGCAGTGAGTTCTTGCTAACTTTATAGACCATTTATTTTGCATAAGTTTGACATGACTGTAGCATGTAGATTGACAGAAAGTAAACTAGTGCAAATTAACGTAATGAATTTGCCCTCCTCTTCTTTGTAGCACAATGGCTGACAAATCAACCAAGCCAGCAAAACGATTATCTGCCGATTCAACCAACTCCCATGAGGGAGCTACAGGAGGAGAACTAAGTGCTCTGGAAGAGGCCTTTAGAAAATTTGCTGTCCATGGCGATACGAGAGCCACAGGAAAAGAAATGCACGGGAAGAACTGGTCCAAGCTGTGCAAGGACTGTCATGTGATAGATGGGAAGAACGTAACAACTACAGATGTTGACATCGTCTTCAGTAAAATCAAGTAAGTGCTTTTCTGCCGTAATTTCCTTGTCTCCCCCACATGTTTTGTAGACATCATCATTTAAATTTGTGAGATACTGTTTGTCATTGTCTAAATCGATCTCTTTCACGTTCCTTTACAAAATTTTGTTGCTTTGTCTGAAGATACGGCTTTCAGCTTATGACCTGCTATTTTAAATTGACTTTAGTTTCACAGGTGTTATAGTATACAAGCCAATGTATGTGTTATACTATGCAGGCTATTCCAAGAAACTGGAGTAAGTGCTGTTGGTGTTTCCTGAAGGATGTCTGAATGAAGTCAAAGCTCAAAGCTTGGCCTCAGAGGACCAAGGCTAAGATGGAATATGTGCTAAAAGTCAGTATTCTAACAAGAGTCCTGATGTCCAACACAACACTAACTCAAGTTTGAAGTGTAGGGCCATGCCAAGCTGATGGTGAATTTGTGATGGAGACCCATGGCTGTGACAAATTGATTAGGATTGTCTTTGTTGTCTATGCTTATTCCTGTGATCAGACTGGTGCTTTCATGAAACTTTCTCTGCAGGCTGAAAACCTAGGCAAGCTTGGTCAGAAACTCGTCAAATCTAAGACAAGATATTAATCTGTTCTGCCATATTCTGTATGAAGCCCAAATAATTTTTCTGGGTTTGTTTCATATGTAGAATTGGATTATTTTCACCTTCCCCCTTCCCCTGCTATCTGATATAATAATCTTGTCTTTTCAGCATTTTGTTACCACAGTAACTGTTTAAATTGTCTCACACCTCATTGTGTTGAGGGTCATGCTTTTTAAAGGAGTCCCTTAATTGTACTTGTAGCTTGTAGTAACACTTACTTGGCTTGTACTCTCAACTGTGTTGCAGTGCTGGGGAGGACATGCAAACTGAGCAAGGGTAGTTGGAAAATCTTGCTACAAGCACTGACCCTTTTGAGTGCAGCAAAGCGGAGAAAGGCAGAGAAGAAAAGACCTTCAGTCTTGAAAGTTGTCCAGTGTAACATACACAGAATGACTTACTTGGTTGATTTCTTTGTTTCTTTTCTCTTTGGGGATCTTATCCAGGCAATTGAAGACACTATATATGCACACTCTTACTCTCCTGTTTTTGTATCAGTCCACTTTCTCTTTGAGTCTCTACTCATATTTTCTTGGAAGTTGTGTTGCCGGAATTAGATATACTATCAGGGAACTGGTTTATTTGAAATGCATATTTAGGCTGTAGGGTTTTGTTTCTTTCTTCATCTACGATAGGCAATGTTGGCATTTCTTTTCAAATGTTCTTTGACTTTCATCAGCTTAAAAATTTGTCTTATTATTTCCTTTAATGATAGATACAGTCTTAGTGCTATTTTCTCATGTCATCTTCTGGGCAAGTTAATGATAAGACAACCCCATGATATAGCATTAAAAATATGCAGCATTAGCAGATAGAAAGAAATATCAGTTTTTGTGACTGTTGGGATAGAAGAAATCCAGTCTGTTTCACAGGAGTGAGTTCTGAGGTGGCAGGTACCTGAGGCTCTAGGGGAATGCCAACATATGCACTTGCTGCTGTTCAGCAGTCTCAACTCAGCTCGAGGCTTCTTGTCTCCATCTCTCGGGGGGAGAGCAAGCTCAGCAGTTTCTCAGGCCTCTCTCCTGTGACCACAGCCTCGTAAAATGAACTTCAGCCTGAGATTCTTATGGTCAGTGGGATAGGACTGGTGGATTTTAGCAGTTGTAGTCTGTCAAGGGAACACAACAAAGATAAGATGTGTTTGTCATACCCAGCTACAGTTGCCATTTAGCATTGTGTTAGAACTTCCAAATGTATTTTCTGTTAGTTCTTACCAACAGGGTTTGTTTTCTAGCCAGCTGTACTTGGAGTTTATGACAATGGCACCTGTTGTTCAGATACTAGAAAATAATTAATCTAGTAGAAATGTTCTTTGGGTTTATGAGTTACTGTGTATAAAGCCCACGTTTGTCGTCTTGCTAACTTTCCCAGGCTTCATTTATTATTATGCTGCAGATACTGGCAAAATAGGTGGGAACTAAATGTTGTTGATAGGGTAAATTAACAAGGAAATTAATAAGAGATATGTTTACCTAAGAGCTACTGAAAGGTAGTGTTGTATTCTTCCAATTGGTAACTTTCTCTGCTCCAGGAGAGATTTTATCTCTGTAGTAATGAACATTTTTGTAGGCTTAGCACCCCCCACCTCTACCAAACCAGGTGAACAAAACTTCTGAAACTTTTGAGCAGTCCTTGATACTGCTTCAAAGCTGGGACTCTGTGTCTGTCTTTAAGAGATTAGTTAAGTTTAATGTTATTATAAAGATTGAAAAAATTCCAGTGAGCCTTTGGTACAAATAAGAAAAAAGTTAAAAATGCTGTTTTCCTTCTATGTGAGGATGTCAGGTCAGACTGAAATGAAATTTGTCTATTTGTCTTGCATAAAAGGTCCACTGAAACCTTCATGTAAGCACAACATTTATATGTACTTCAGGAGAAGAACAACAAATGCAAAGAATCCACAGTAGTAGACATGAAAGAATTATTGCTAGAATTGCATTCTTTGGCAAGAAAACATGCAAACTGGGTGATCTCTTCCCTCCCTGCAAGAATTTTTGTTTAACAGTAATTTGTAAGTTCTTAAGGGTCTCATAAATGCTTTGAATGTAGTGGATTGCAATATAAGTTGTTCTTTGTTAAAAATTGATTTAATAGATTCTTTTTCTGCCTATTTTTTTTGCTTTCTATTTAAAAAACTTTCTATTGTCAATGTAGAAAATACAAGAAGTGAACCAACAATGAATTTTGCAATGGAATTACTTGAAATGAAAAGCTACTTATGAGAGTAGCCACGTGTATGAATATTTATAATTTGCATCCCTAGAGAGCAGAGAAAAAATACCTACATTTATGCAAATATTTGGATTGCATTAATAGAGTTGGGATAGACTGCAGTTTCCATAATAAGTAGAAGGGTAATTTTTTTTTTTAGGTTATAAAATGTACAATAAAGACATCTCTTATAATATTGTTAACTTTCTGTGCATGTTGCACCTGGAAAAGCAAAAGAAATTGTGAAGAGTGAATTGCAAAGTTCTGCCATATCTTATAGGATGAAATCTGTAAAAAGATGCAGCAACAAAAATGTACATAACTGTAAATATAATTATGCAGTAACCTTTTTTTGTAGTTTCACATTCAGCACTTGAGATGTTGTGCTCTGTCCTTTGTATGTTCGTTGGACTGCATACAACAGTAACACTGATTGCAGGGTAGATTTTCATTTCAGAGCAGTTACTTGCTTATAGTTATGTAAAAATCTCTTTTGCTGGTTGGTACCAGGATAACTCTTTCTCTTTAAATGGTAAAAATGAAGCAACCTCTTCTCTGAAAATTCTGCTAATATGATTATTAAAAGAAGCGCCTGGAAATACTTTCTAGGAAATTTTTAACTGGTCCATATATTTACTGCCATACTTGAAGACAAGGCTAAATCACAGTCATTTTCTATGAGAATGGAAGTTTTCATAAATTATTGTATCTGAAGTTTTCATGACAGAGCTGAAAGTGGTATTCCCATGGTTTTTTTGTAATAACAATATCTTCAATTGCCCTGTAGCTCAAGTTTCTGCTAAAATATAGGGGTTTAGCATGAACATCTTAGTAATATTAGATCATTCTAAGCATTAATTTTTCATGTACTATCTGAGCGTTATATATACATCTTTCTTTGATATTTTGTAAATGAAGAGTGATAATGCCATCTGGGCCTACTGAATTTAGAGGAATACAATTTACAGACATGCAATAGCATTTGAAAATTCATGGGTTTCATGAGAGTGGGTATTCCATGGATATGTTTTTAGTAGCTGAAACACTTGCCTTCTTGGAAAATTTCTTCATTAACTAACTGGTTTTAGTGAGTCTTGTTGCCTCGGAGAAAGCAGGTTCACTGATGACACAGGAGAAGTGCACTGAAAGGTTCTGTATTTGGTATGAAAAACAACATGTGACTTAATCCTTCTTATTCTAGCAAGACAGTGAGACATAACAGTCTAAAAACTTTGGGATTTTTGTATTAAGGAAAGCAGAATACCTAAGAATAATAGATGCTACTGATCTCTGACCAGCATTCCAGCATGTTGCCTTAGGAACTTAAATTTCTTTGTTTAGTGGGGTCAACAACTGCTCTGGGAAATGTGATATGTTAGCTATGCCATACACATACTCCACTTGTTGTATGTAGTTAACATGGTAATAGTAATAGCCCTGATATAAATACCTCTGCTCTTATTTTAGAAGTGTTACCATTCAGTGCTGCAAGAATATGTTTTAAGCACTACCATAAAACTGCTGATTCTATGACATTATTAGATAGAAAAATAAAAATATTTCTGTTTATACTGGCATGTTACTATGGTTGCAGGCAGGACTGAGTGACGTCACACCTTGGATCCATTGTGAGCATTTATTTAGGTAGTTGTCTCCATGGAAACATTTGTTTGTTTTGATGTTACTATGTGTTAAATTTTAAACAAATTTTTGTGGTTCTATACTGGATTGTTATTGAAGTCTAGTTAAGCTACAGAAGCTTTGTAAATATACCTTACTCTCCACCCTCTTCTTGGTAAAAGATCAAGTGAAAGCATAATTGTCCTCTGAAATTCCATTAATAGTTCCTGATGTTGCTTTGACATGTTTTCTTGTTGCTGAGGAAGCCATGTATTCTAAAGGCCAGAAAACTCTCCTCCATCTTTTTGAGAAAGAAAGGTTTTGTTCCCATGGAGAATCATCACAACACACTTTATTGTGCCCTGACTTTTGAGCAGTCCCACCCGTCTGTCCTCACAATGTCTTGCACACTTAGCTGCTTAGCCTGGTTCCCACAGCCTGGAGCAGTGAGGTCCCTACAGGAGTGCTTCCACCTGAGACCAGCTGGGCCTTAATTCAGCAGTAGTTCACCATTGCTGCAAGACTGTGAAAGAATTGAAATGGATAATGTTTGGTC